TGTGTGTGTGTGTGTGTGTGTGTGTGTGTGTGTGTGTGTGTGTGTGTACGTAAGTTAAAGTTGTCTGGATGATTTGTCTGTGGCTGCAGTGGGATGTTTACAGCGGTGGTAAAAGCTGAGTGCAGTGTTTCATGGTGCGTCTTTGGGCAAAACGCCAAATAATAAAACAAACAACAACAACGAAGTGAGGACAGCAGCTCTGAGCAGCAGCAGCTCTGAGCAGCAGCAGCTCTGAGCAGCAGCAGCTCTGAGCAGCAGCGGTCTGATTGTTTCAAACACTTTCCTCCGCAGCTCATTAGTGTCACACACAGGAAGTCTGCTTTCTTCTTCTGTGGTGGCGCTCTGAGCTGCGAGTCGGTTGACTAGAAACATCTGATTTTCTGTGAACGCTGAAGAAGCTGAAATCCAGTTAACGGTAAAAAAGCAGAACTCTTCCCAAGATGCAAAACACTAATTCAAAGCTTAAAGTAGCAAAGGCCAGCTAAAAGTAATAAAACACTAATTAGAAACTAAAAGTTAAAGATGAACTAAGAGCTACAAGTAGCCAAAGTCTAATTAAGAACTTAAAGGAGCAAAAGTTGCAAAAGCCTGGCTGAAAGCTACAATTAGCAAAAGCTAACTACATGTTAAAAGTAGCAAAAGGTCAGTCAAAAGCTAAAAGTAACTCAAGAAATCAAAACCAAAGCGAGTAGCTGAAGTAGATTTATGTTTTGTTTATGGAAGAAATCTTTGAGTTTCTACTTGGAAACTATTAATTTTTTTAAAGTATAAAAGTTATAAAATCCAAAAATGAGTTCTTCTACCTCCAGAATGAGTCGAACGATTTGATACAGAACAGCTAAAATCTGTGTAAAACTTTGTTAAACGTCACCAGTGAGTCAGAGCTGGGGGCTGTACGGTGGCCCTGCAGGGTCAGACAGAAAGCGGAGGCTCAGGTCAGGCTGTGAGAAAAGTGGGACGATGTGGAGTTTCTCTGCAGAGGACGTGAGGTCAGCGAGATGAGCAGCGTCTTAATCTCACTCCTCCAGTCGCCTCGGCTGCTCCGTTTATTCCTCCTTCAACATCCGCCAGCGTTTCAGGCTTCTGTTGAGAAACGATGGAGGTGGAGGCGTTTTGGGCACACGTTAAAATGTCTCCAGTCCTGAGCTGTCGTGCTCAGAGGACACGTTGGGAGTGACTCTCAGTTACTACCACTTCAGCTTTTAACTCAGTCTCTGTGAAACTGACAGATTTTCTGAGTTCCTACGGTCGTAAACTGTGGACATCGTGAATCAGTTACAGTTCACCAGCTGTGGGTGTACATCTAGATATTTGGCTAACAGACAGACATTTGAAGACATGCAGGCAAAAACTTTCAGCTTTTGATCTTATTCTTTTTCATGTTCTTGTTCTTTTTGTTCTTTTTGTTCTTGATTTTTAACAAACCTTTACACAACAAGTTAACACAACAGTGTTTAAAAAAAATGATCAGGACAAGCTTAAAATAAAATATTTACATGAGGAGCTTGTTGTATTGTAGTTCTCAAAATCTTTTTATTCTTGTTCTTGTTCTTCTTATTATTATTTGTCTTCTTCTGGCAGCTCTGTTTAATCTAATGACGAGGATCTTCAGCCTTTTTGACACAGTTTTCACCAAGTCTGTTTTTATTAATGGAGAACATCACATCAAAGCCACTAAGTGATTAACTAACTTGAAGCCGTGGCTCTGTGGAAGCGCGACGTCAAGGCCAGACTGGTGTTGGAGTTCTGCTTCCACAGAGACGCTGGACACCTGGAGAACTTTGTGAAACTGTGGAGATTTAAGGGTTTATGCACCATTTCTGATCAGGGAGAACTACAATACAACAAGCTCCTCATGTAAATATTTTATTTTAAGCTCGTCCTGGTCACCTTTTTTTTGTTAATTATCTGTGTAAATAAAGTTTTGTTAAAAATCAAATATTCTTGTTCTTCTTGTTCTTCTTTTTATTCTTCTTTCAGCTTTTCCCTCTTCAGGGATCGCCACAGCGAGTCATCCTCCATCTCTCTGTGTCCTCTGTCCTCTGTGTCCTCTGTCCTCACGCCACCTACCTCCATGTCCTCTCAACTGCAAAAAACTTTCTCCTTTTGGTGTCGCATGATAAAAACTGTTCCCCTCCATCGTTGGAGGACGAAGGTGGTTTTAGTTTCAGAATTCAAAAAGAAGATTTAACAGTGTGAAGAACAAAACAAAATAAGAAAATCTGACTGTTGAAGCTGAAGTTTAATTTGTTAAACGTGTAAAACTGAAGAATATTAAACGTGTGAAGAGGGAGGGGTGAAGGTAACAGAAACTAAACAATAAAAAGAGAAGAAGATGTTTTAATATTCGATTGAAAACCAGTTTCTGAACCAGAAGAAGTGTTTAGCCGCTCGGAGGACGTCGGGGAAGGAGAGCAGCGGCAGCCGCGACGTCTGAGAGGAGCGAGGAAAAAAGAGAAACTGGATCAGAGCCTGCGGGCGTTTGAGCAGAACCCGTCTCTCTGGACCTCACTGCCTTTAATGAATCCACACAAAAACACTGCAAGAGGCATATTTGATCCTGCTGGATAAAACACACACCTGTGAAACCACACACACACACACACACACACACACACACTGAAAAACCTTCTGGAACTTCAGAGGAAGACTCTGAGGAAGAAACTGGATCAGAACCTGCAGCAGCACCGACTGACTTCCTGTCACTTCTCCACCTTTAGTTGTTTTTCTGCATCAGGTTCTGTTTAGCCCGACTCCTCGGATCATTCGGTTCTTAAAGTAAAAGTACTACAACAATAAAGTACTTTACAAGTAAAAGTATTTCCACTGAAACGAGTCGGGATCCAGATTCATGTTTAAAGAAATGAACCAAAGAGGGAAAGAAGCGTCCGGACCGTTGGTGCGACAAGTCCAATAACCCGGTTCTGAACCCAGGGGCTGCTATTTCAGACAGAATCTCCAGGTCTTAATGTTCCACCACGGGAACGAAGAAGAACCCGTCTGAAGGAACATTTAACCATCAGATGATAGAAAATAAACTCCTGGAATATTGTTTCTGGTGGTGGTAGAGTTATGTTCTGGGACAAAAAAAGACAAGTCCAAAAGCCCGGTTCTGAGATGGTCTGGGCTTGGTTCTGAGATGGTCTGGACTTGATTCTGAGATGGTCTGGACTTGGTTCTGAGATGGTCTGGGCTTGGTTCTGAGATGGTCTGGACTTGGTTCTGAGATGGTCTGGACTT